CTTTCGCTATTGCAGGCCCAATTCCTCAACGTAAATCTGTTGCTCAAAGGAGAACAACCTACAGAACTAGTGGGAATTTTGTTCTTCCTGCCTGCTCATCTATATTATGTATTTCTCCAAGGATTAGGGGGGTTGATAATTATGGTGAGATATTTTGTACATGATATAATACCTATTTACCAGTAACAGACCAATTTACCAAGCATAGATGTGACAACAGAATTCAATCACTGTTGTGCTGTATTCACTTATTTTGGATTTGAATTGCTACCCTGGATGCAAAAGAGGCCACGCCCAATCATGAGCACACTGAGCCTTCTAGATCTTCATACTTGCTTGTAGTATTAGTAACAGAAAGAGACATCACATTTCAGTACCTTTGCGTTTGGCCAGAACTCTGAAGACATTCTGGCACACTATATTTATGTTAGCAAGGTTTTGTTTTACATAATTCTTTAGGCATAGTTTTGCTTACTACCATTACAGAGGATGGTCTCAGTCTGGGAGCTGTTGTTGTAACTCATGTATGAAATTAAAGTGAAACTTCCAGACTTCTCCCTTTTCACGAGTTCACTATGACTTCTGAAATATCATTACTGAAGCTCGGAAATTAAGATAACAACACCAGGATGGATTCGATGTTTATTTTCCCTGAAAGATTTCTGCATTCCATTTTTGACTGATTTTGTGATAAGGTAACCCTCTGGAGGACATAGCTTTAGTTTTCAGATCATTTTTTGCTTTCTAAACTAGAGCAGGAAAAGAATAAACCCTGGCTGATTGGATCGCCTTAGCAGCATATTTCTTCAGGACTTCTGTATCAGAGCAAATTAGATCATTCTGCACTGACGTGATATATAATTCCCATATCTTCTATGCCATCAGATCCTTGGGTTTGGTTTGAAGGGATAAGAATTAAGCTGCAGCATTTGAGTGAAATTGTTTTTATTATTGGAATCCCAATATTTTTTTATGGGCAAGAGGAAAACTACCACAACTGGCACACAATGTGACTCAACCTCACACGTTTGGAACCTTAATTCTGTCAGCATCAATTGGACATGAAGTACATCCATTGCTTTGAGTCTTTCTTTTCATGTAGCTCTACTAGCAAAAAGAAGCTATTTCCTGTTTGCAATTCAGTGCACACTGGTTTTATGACTTCCTTTAACTCTTCCCCATGTTTAAATCACTGCTTATTAAATAATCTTCCAGCATTTCCTTTCTAAGTGTGTCTTGGTGCATCAGCTGAGCACAGCTAAGTTCAAGAATGGATCTGCTGCTTGAAAACATTCATTGATGGCAAGTAATGAAAAAGTAATGACAGCTGAAATAATAACTATAAAAATCTGATTTCAGCTGTTCTTGAGCTTGTTGATATATAGTGAAAAATGAAATATGATCTTTAAATGGAATATCACTCTCACTGCATCTTCCATCATCGTATTATAGGTTATGATTGCTCTTTCTACTGTAAAAGATGACTCTTTGGAACAAGTAGGGCTGATTGCTCCATTAGTTCTTGATATCATTCAGCACTTAGGGCAACATTTATTTCTTTTGCATTTCGTTTGCATTCCCTAATCACTGCAAATACTCTGGAAAATCTTATACCATTTGATGACCCAACCAAGAATACTTTTTCACTGAAGCAGTATTTTGCTCCCGTTCCTAGAAGTGCAGTCTTATTCTTTAGGAATTTATATTGAGTATAAATTATGATGGCTCTTAAGATGAGACATGTAAATTATGGTAAATACATTTTAAACCTCTTGCATTAGATTTGCATAAGAACTATTGTTAAACAAAACAAATACATGTGAGCTCGACAGCAAGTTTGGTGGAATTTTCAGTTGAAAGTTAGTTGGAACTAATTCTGAATGTATACCAAGACTACAAGGCCTAAAAACATATAAAATCAAATTACTAGTTTCCATTTTCAATCATCATCTGATTCTGTTTACATAGAAATTTTACTCCCTGACAGGAAAAAAGATGAAAAGCTGGAGCTTACTTGACTCTATATGCCACCAACTATGTGCGCCACATGAGAGACAGCTTGAGTAAATGATCTTGTCAAAACAGAAAGTATCACTAAGGAGGCAACACTGAGGGACTGAACGATTCACATCAGTTTGTTAAAAGCAGTGATCTATATTTAGCTATTACTCCTTTGTCTTTTTGTCAATGGCTCTTATCAGTCAGCTTTTTCTTATCAAAAACCTGTGAATGTAGATAATTCTGTAGTTTACTAACGTTGAATGTTACTGAGCTTATGTTCATAAAGGAATTATTTTAGAATAAGACCCGTACAAAGTTAAAGAACTATATCTGTCATCAAATAACTTTCTTAGAAGAATATTATTTTACATTAAGAGTACCCAGATTGTGAGCTTTCTGCGAATGTGCTAAAAGACCTGTGTTGGGGAACACCTCCATGTATAAACCTTATTTTTTCAGAAGTAGCCACTGTTCTTACTCTCTTATTGCTCTTACACTATATTCTGCACACATCAAGAAGGATGCTGAATTGGTGCTTGACATAAAGATTACTTTAACAATAATGCCATTAAAAGGGGTGAGGGTGTCAGGGAGTAAAGTACTTACCAGAGATGACAGTGAAAGAATGAAGTATTTAGCTATTAGAAACTATAACCTCTTGGGGTACCTAAGTAGTTTTTGGATGAATACAGAATTACTTATGCGACTGAAGTATTAATAATACAGACATATTATTGTAGAGAAATCTAGGAAAAAAATATGCCCTCTTTTTTCTCTTTTCCTGCTATAAAACTTAAAGCCTTAGCAATTTCACTGGCTCTAAAAAATTATTTTATGATGAAGATCCACAGTAAAGCTCAAAATGCAGAGGAAGAATTCCTAATTTGGTATCCCTACCTGCACAAATAAACAAATTCAATAACATATGTGACACCAAGTGGCAGTTTCTTTACAACAGATGTAATTTAATCTTTGAGCAGCAGGTGCAAAAGTTATCTTGAGGCAGAAGCTACAAACAGAGCCATTTTGCAGAAGCTACAAACAGAGCCATTTTACAGAAGACATTTGACTTGGTGGGAAATGTAGGAATAATTGTGAAACGCAGCTCTTCTTTCCATCTTCCAACAGCGGACCATACATGATTCAGTGCTTTATCTTGAAAGACACGAGTTTATATATGTATTTCTATTCCCTACCCCCAGATTAGAACATGGTTCAGCATAATATTTGCTCCTTTGGTCAGTGTTTAGAAACTGATATGAAAATGGATTTTCATTACAGTTGTTTCTAATCACTCAGAGGAACACATTTGTTCTGAATTACCTATCTGGACATCCACGGGGTTGCTAATAAAAGAGAATCAGATGGATTCAATGTCGCATTCGATCAGTTCCTACAGTTCTGGAAATGTATTCACCATCTCAGGCTTCTCTTGGTTTTGCAAATGTGTGTTAGGGTTTTATCCTTTTGGATGTTGAAAATGGCATTTAAGTTGTACAGTGCTCACTTGAGCTAAGAACTTTGACAAACTGGGCCCTCATTAAGGAAATTGAAAACCGATGTTTTTTTCCCCTGGCCTCTGAAGCATGTAAAATAAATACACTAATTAAAGAAAGATCTGAGCCTCAGACTTTATATAGCAAACAGCGATACAGACTTTCTTCCTGCTTGATCGACCTGAAATACACAATAACATCTTTCTCCAGCAAAGTACGTAAGCATACGCTTAACGTGTGTTGTGGTTTGAGCCTGGTTGGCAGCCAACCACCCCGCAGCCGATCACCCACCCTTCCCTTCCCCCCCCACCTGGGAATGGGGGAGGGAATGGGAGGGGTAAAGGGAGACTTGCAGGTTGAGATAGGAACAGTTTAATAATGGTAATAAAACGAGAACAATGACAGTAATAGAAAACATAAATGGGCAATGCACGGTGTAATTGCTCACCACCTACTGACCAGAACCCAGCCTGTTCCCGGCTAGTGATCCCGAAATACCAAGTTCCCGCAATCGCAATTCTGGAAGTGAGAGAGAGCTCCTTCCCGACCACCCCTCCTCTATACAGTGAGCATGACGTTCCATGATATGGAATATTTCATTGGCCAATTTGGGACTGGTGCTCTGGCCGTGCTCCCTCCCTGCTCCCTGTGCCCTTGCGCACGGGCAGGACACAGGGAGTTGGAGAGTCCTTGAAGTCTCAGTAGCAGCTGAAAACATCCGTGTGCTATCAGCATTCTTCTCATACCAAACCCAAAGCTGAATCCAAAATACAGCACTATTCTGGTTACCAAAAAGGAATATTAACTCTATTTCAGCCCAAACCAGGACAACGTGAAGCCACAAGAATACTCTGTTTGGTTTAAAACTAAGCAATGTGCTTACATGCTTTGTTGTATTTAAGCCAGCCTTGAATCAACCAAGGTGGCTCACACAACCCAGCCATGTTCCACTACTCACTGTTCTCCCAGAAGTCTGAAATACCATGGACCACTGCCAACCCCCTTTGCCTGCCCTGCAGGTACTGCACTACTGCACTACTAGATGAGTCACCACCACAAGGAAATGTAATTTTGGAGTTGGCTTTTTGAAACAAAAAAACTCTTTGCATCAGTTTGTGGACAAATAGTTCTGAACAGAAAAATATTACTCCCGTAGGTACTCCTGCCCTTCTAGTAATGCTCTGGTCCTGAACATTTACTAAAATGGGATATTGCCATTATAAGAAAATAGCTGTATTTACAAGCTGACCTTGAAACATGTACAAACTATTCCTCTAAGATGGTATCACAGCTTCTCAGCTAGATGCCTCTGACTATACACTGCTAAGGGATAATGAAAACTCTCCTTCAGCCTCAGCTGCTGATGCTGTGTAAATTCAACATAATAAAAACCTCACGCTGTTCTTGGCCTTTGCTGGGTTCCCAGAATGACCCTGTTAACACCACACAGAAAAGCAGAGTGGACAAGAGAGCCACGAATGGAAGCAACAGAAGAAAAGGACCTGAGAGCAATAAGCCTCTGTGGTTTATTCACAATGGCAGACGTGGAAGGGATAACATCCCGTGTCTCAGAAGGACAACGAACTCGGGCACACACAAGGCTGTCAGAATACAGTAGGTGCTTCTCCATCTGCCTCTCTGCTCCTTGGCCGCACAGGTTTCGAGGGAGGGTTGAGGGACACTCGTTCCAGCTCTCACGGTGGTTCTGTCTGGGCAGCACGCTCTGGTGACCTCCCGATGGAGGATAAGGCTGTGAAACTGCATCTTCCTTCGTCCATGCCCATCGCAGCTGCAGACAGTGCCACTATTCACAGCAGGACAAAGCGACTGTAAAATGCCATCAGATCAGCTTTTTCACACTGAGTACATGCTGGCGTAAATGACGACGTCAGGTACAGGAAAACAAAGAAACAAGCTTATTTCTTCCTATCACTAGAGAAAGCACTGCCTCCAGAAACACTGTAGGAACGGACTTTGGGGACATTCTGACAAATCGTTGAGAGACAAAATCATCTTTATCTTGTGATATGTGAGCAGGCAATTGTCTCTCTATATCTCATCCTTCCAAATGACATTGCTTCTACAATATATTTGTTCCAGGCTCTCTGAAGCACTGGCTAGCAATGCAAAAATCTTACAAAAATGACTGATTTTGGCCTCTACAAGATGATAGCAGAACAAAACCCTGATCTGGTACCATTATAGCTGAATACAGAGATAAAATTATGCCCTTAAACTGGCAGTACCATGACAGTGGTGAAAAAATTAAAAATCATTCAGGTCACCTTGACTGTGACAGGCAGGAGATATTGTTTCCAACGTAAGTAACAGGACTCAACATTTCAATGCACGAAAAGACTAAGAAGTTTTGGAGAACTATTTTTGTTTTGGAAATGACATTCCTCTGTATCAGACTGTAGCAGCGTGGGCTGACTATTGTGATAGAAGTTATTAAAAAATGCCAGTTCTCTCAGTGAGAGCTACTGGCATCATTAACCCCCTGAGAGATAACGAAACAACAGGAGGCATTTCTTAAGATTGTTTTGAAATTTAAACATATTTGATATATGTTTTTCTTACTGGCATGTAATGATCTCAAAAGTATTATAACTAATTGCAGATGTTTTCTTTTAAGAGCCTCTTCCCACTTAATAATGCACATGAGATATGAGATTCTTGGCTGGTAGTTTTGCTTCTTTTGATACTTTGTTTTGTATTTGACATTCTTATACATAAATTCACAAATGAGCCACCAATACTTGGCAGACCTACTCAAAGTTATACATATTCATTATGAAGAGAAATTGTACATACCCAGAGGGTTTAAAAATTCTAATGGTGGCTCTGACAAGTTCAAACATACACTGTCTTGTGTATCTCCCAAATTTAGACTATACCCTGATATTATAATACATGGCTACTAATCCTAGAAGGATATGAATGGTTATAACTCTGTGTTAACTAATTTTAGAACACAAAGATGTAGTTAATGAATTATATCAAAGTGCAAAATCATATTGAAAGACACTAGACCCCAGAGTTCAATAGGTTATGGTGAGAATATTGGCAATTCATTTAATTATTGTTTCTGTTCGAATGGTTGTTGACACCCACAAAGCCCTTTGGTGTGGAGCTGAAGAGACCGGTCATTGTCTCTTCTTTGGTACCACCACCTGTGTGCAGGACAGCCAGAAAGCTGAAATACCCTGAAGGCCCCAGCCCCTCCAGCAGCCCTGCCTCCAGGGTAAAGTGGAAATGGTCACGGCACAAATGAGCTAGGCTGAGTTAACTAAGTTTGGGTAAAACTCTAACGGGGACAAGGAGGTACGTAACTTTCTCACACGCTAACAGATTCATGTGTTCTGGGGGTTGGATCTTCTGTCCTTTTAAAGGTTCCAATTCAAAGCACTCAAAGATTTTGAAGGGAGAAGTGGCAGTTCTGTCAGTGCAAATAGCAGAAGCAATCCTGCAGCAGTTTTTCAGCCTGTTACCACGCTATGCCCTTGACTTCTCTGCAAAAATAAGTAACAAGGGGAAACTCTACAGACAGGCTTTAATCAGTACTTGAACGTAGTACTCCTTTGACAAGATTTTGTGGATAATAACCACTTACTGTGTGTTAAATACACTACAATTCACTAAAAAAACTCAAAGAACTTTTGAGGTGATCAAACGTAGAGCTTCTCAGTCCCAGAAGAGCCTCTAATAAAGACCAGCACATGTGTGTTCCTGCTCAGGAGTACCTGAACGGTACAGATATTACATGTCAGGTCCAAGAAATGCAGTCAACTATGTAAGGATGCCTGGAGAAGTCTCTCCTGCAGAGCGTATGGAAGTCAGGGGATGTTTTTAGTTTCTTCTGCTGTGAGAGTGCAGATGACAGTGTGTATTGAGTCCTTACTATTAATTTATTTCTCAGAGAGCAAATTAAAAGAAAAGAATACATCCTATATTAAGAGCCTCAGCTCCAGCATGCAATTTAAAGGCTAATACAGCCCTTCAGTAAAGCAGCAACAAAATATGAAAAAGATCAAAACATGAGTCAGTTTGTGGCAGCCAACAGAACCCATTTTGACAGGCCGTGGTCTATGTTCGTTGCTCAGGTGATGGCAGGCTGGTAACGGGCATCATCTGCTCCAAGAAGAGTCAGTGAGTCACTTTACCTTGGACGATCCCGGGGATGAGTCAGTTTTGCTCCAGGAAATCAGACTCTGCAAAGTTACACTCTACTCCATAGATTAATTCCAATTTAGTTTTAGCCCTCTCTGTTCACCTTGATTCATGGAAGAATAATTATACTTTTATTTTTTCATCTTTATTATTACTGGCAGTCTCGTAAATGAGGGAGGGAGGTAGCACATCTAATTAGGCTGAAATGAAGCTCTCTTATGCAAGAATCAACAAAACAAGAGCAGTGTTTTAAAATGCTATGAAATGAAACAGATTAGCCCTTATGTCCACTTTGATAAACATTGACTCAGATTGTAATTAGCCAATGTACTAACATTGAAATTTCTAAATTATCAGTTTGGTCAAGGTTTTCCTGAAATGTGGGATCCAGAATAAACAAAATCCATAGCACAGCTATCTCTAGTTCTAATAAGTCTAAATAGTCCAAACACTTGAAATTTATCTTTTTATGACTTCTGAAACAGAGAGAGTATTGTTCAATATCAGAAGTTCAAATTAAACAAGCACTTTTAAGTTTACTGGAGACAAGCATCTCTAATACAAGCATTGCTGAGATCATTATCTGAAGAAAGCTGGGTGTGCTGACATAAAGGGAAACATAATTGGCTCTGAAGGAATTAGAAATTTAGAGTTGTGATAAGGAATGAAAATGCAAATGGTTAAGCAAAAAGAAAAATAACCTGGAATAATTTTCAGAAGAGGCATTAGGAAAGAAAAAAATCTTTTCTTTTGTAAACTGATTTCATTCGGCATGAAAATAATACAATGATAAAAATATTTTATTTTAAATTTCTGGCTCATGTTTCAAATCAGATTTCATTTGAAAGAATCATTTTATTTTTTATTTTTGGATGGCTGTGGTATGTATTTGAAAAGTTTTGACCACAGACAGCTGTGCAGTATTTAGCAACCAGAACAGAGATTTCTTCTAGCGTTTTTGTGTGGCGCTTTTTTTTTTTTTCCCTTTAATTAAAAGTCTCCTGTATTTTTTTATTCAAGATACTATGTTTCCTGAAACTTAATCTTATGATGAGGGTGCTACTGGAGCTCTGTTCTTTTAGAGAGGCAATTTCAGTCCATTTGACAATTGTTTCAGTCCATTATTTAACTAGCCGAATATATTATTTTCAGTACTGTTTTCCTGATTATTCTCTTTTTAAAGCTGATGGATTCAGACACCCAAACACTTTGCTTGCTTTACTTTTCTTTACAGAAGTGGATTATCTGGGTTAGGAAAGAACGGTCAGGCAGTTCACAGCTGTAGATATGTATTCTTCTTGGTAAGTGTGTAGAAATCTCTCCCACATGAGACCAACAGTATCTTCTGTTGTCCAGAAATGAAAGTCTTAAGTGAGAATCAGCATGCAACTGCTTTTGGAAAGATGCACTGGGATTCTTACTTACCTTGCATGTGAACAAATTTTCAACTTTAGGAAGAAAGAAAAACTTAACTAAAACTTTGGCTTATGAGATGAAAGGCAGCTGATGATTCATTTAGTTTCAAATGTGCCCTACTCTGGAAATAGCTATCATTTGCTATGTATCGTCATGTAACTTTAAAAATAAGGAAAACAGAAAATAAGGGGGACACCCCCCACACCCTTAAGAGATGACTGTTATGATTGAGATTCCAAAGCCAAGTTTTTAGTTCTACAGTTAACTCATCTTCATCTCTTGGAACATAATATTTTATACAATGCAATACAGTGATAACTCTAATGCCTTGAAACACACATTTATCCATGTGGCTATTCTAGTGTAGGCTACGCTGCTTTTTCAATTTGTTTGCTTTAAGTTAAAGATTGCCATACCATTCCTCTGTTTCTTTCATATTTAAATCTAGATCACTTCTCTGACACCATCTGTGGTTTGTTAATATGATCAGCCAATAAATTTCTAAAGACTTCCAGGCATCTTTTTAAAAATTCAAAGTTCAGATGTACAAAGTCAGTCACGTATCTAAGTGATAAAGCACAACCGTAAGGTTCACTGACTCAAATATCTGCTTGCAGCGGTGAGCAGCTTTTGACTTAGAGCAGCAATTTTCCTTTTATTTCCCCAAAACCAGCTGTAAAAAATGATAACTGGCTTTAAACATGTCGTCCTAAAGGATTCCCTTTAAGCTGAGTAAAGCTCTGTGGTATAGCTCTTTACACGCCGGTAGAGGAAGATGCAGCACATTCCCGACGTCCTCTGCCGATCAGTGGGCTCACAACTCCCGTGTGAAGTGAAAGGGCAGATTGATGAGGGTTCAAATTCTAGTGCTGTGAATGCATCTCTAAACTAACGCCACTCTTCTCTCATCTTCAGCATTTGGGGAATATATTTGCAAGTGTAAAGCAAGATAAATCCTTTCAGGTTCCAGCATCTAATTAAGCTTTCAGCTATCTTTGTGAATGAACCAAGAGCATCTAATATGTGTGTCTACAGGGAACATATCAGGAGTACCACTCCATCTGTGAAGTTGCTTGCTATCAGCTGAAAAAAACCTCTTCTCAATTAGCCTCTCTCCATGTCGAACTTCCTCTGGAACATTGCATCAACTATAGCTGAATCCCAATTGTAATAATTGTACTTGAACAAAAAAATACTTTGACTTCCTCCGTGATGGCCTGTGTTTCTGGTAGCAATAGGAAATCAGGTTTAAGCAGTGGCAGGGTCAATTGGGTGAGGTATAGAAACCAGCATGGGAAGGATGATGTTAATTGATTTAAAAATAATTTTAGAAGTGTTCAAGGTTGTATAGCAGACCACAGCAGAAGTGTTCTGGAATTGTTCTGTTAGGTTTTTTGGGTCCTTTTTTTTTTTGTTTATTTTTTTATTGTTTTTTCTCTCGTACACTCTCTTACTATAAGTAAATGTATTCAGGATTCCCAAAGTGGGAAATAGTTTGGTTTAGTGTCTAACTGGAAATTATAAGGATTTAAAAAGTTAAATCCCAACTTGAGTGGATTTGCTTATGAAGACCACTAGCAATGCTTTACTCCACAATGGCAATCAGCATAAAGACCCAACCATCTACCATAGAGAATTTTCTATTGTCTGGTTGGTCTAACATGCTTATCCAGTAAAACGCATCATGGTAAGCATGTGGGCAGAACATTTTTGGAACAGATGATCTTTCACCACCCTATAACCACCCGATCCCCATTTAGTACCAAAGTCATGAATGTAAATAAAGACCACAGTAGAACGGTCTTTTCCTGCAGTATGTGAGAACTGATAATTTGATACTGACATCTCAGAAACAAATTGTTCCTGGAACGGTAAGATGCTCAAAAGTCACGGTCACCAAAATGATTTAGAAGAGTGCTAACATTCACATGGCAAAATATGAATCAATGTGTCTAATGTCAAACATTTGTACTTCAACTTTTATGTCTCAGTACTTCAAAGACAAGCTACACAGTTTTTGTGTGTGGTATAATATCACCACAATTCAGACATCATAAACCATTTTCAGCTGTCACAGCCAAGTCAAGATTGAGCCTATCTTCATCTGTATTTTTCCAGCTAGCTTCCTTGAATAGCTAACACAGGCATTCAAGCAAAATGAAGATTTTCCCTCTCTAAAGGTAACCTCCAAATGAAGTATTCCTAAATCAAAGGGGCGAATAGCCTATCTGAAAACCAGTCAGCACTGGAGCAGCCCTCCTTCTGACTGCCTCCCCTCACTGCATTTCCTCTACCCATACCAGTTCCTCCATTTCTCCCCCTGGCTCCTGCCACCCCTCCTGACTACTCCCATCTTCCTCACTCCACATCTTCCTTATTCCATCCCCACATCACAGCCTACCACAGTTCCACTAATCCCACCACCACCCTGCCCATCTCCTCCCTACCCTGTCCATTTTTTGCTGCAGTGTTACCCTACCACCGAACTGCTCTAGGGAACAAGACCAGTACATATTAAACTCTCTCTCCAACACAGCTGCCAGACAGTTAGAAGCATGAGTATCTTCCAAAATAACTGGTTGTACACTGTGGCTGGGTAGCAGGCCATGGTGGTGACATACCATTCCTCTCTACCAACTGAGTAAAAAGCATATGCTTTCCATCAGCTGTTGTGCAACGTTGCCTGCATGCTGCATGTAATAAACTATTTTAAAGAAATTTTCTTTTTAGTTCAAGTCTGTTTTTTTTTAACATATATAAGGGCATTAAAACGCATTTCTTCAGGAGTTTTGCTGTACACACACGTAACAGAGAAGGACTAAAGCTATTTAATGTTCTTGTATTTTAGTATGAGCCTTAAGGAAGATGCAGCATGTGGAAATACTTCCCTAGTTCTTCTACTGCTCCATATCACCTACCCATGCTTGGACAGATCACAGGTTAGGCCCAGAAGAGTAATAAGATTAAGATAAACAGTAATGAGGTATTCAAAGAAAAAAAAAAAAAAACCAAAAAAAAAAAACCAACCCTAAAAGGTGCCCTTTGGCTTCCAAGACCTCTTAAAGTATTGATATCACGTTTTCAAGATGCTTTACACAAACCACGACCTATGCAAGCACACCACTGTTTACGAAGAAAATTAATTACCGTATCACTCCTTAAGGCTTCCACTAGCCATTTTTCAGAGCGCGCTAAGCCATGGCGGGAGCCACCGCACGCGTACGTGAGGGCCCGGGGCAGAAGCTGCAGCCTCCGTACCACCAGAACACATCGTGGGTGTGGAACGGCTACAGGAGAAAAAACACCACGCCCGGTGGCCCACGCAGGGCACCCGGGGAGCTGGTGAGCTCCTTCGGTGAGGACGGCACCTAGGTGGGAGGAGAAGCTTATTTCCACCTGCGTTCGAGCGGGCTCTCCCCCACAGTGAGGCGACCCCCGCCCTGAGGGCCGCCAACCGCCTCCCGCCGAAACGCGGCGCCGCCTCCCAGCGGGCCACGCGCGCCGGAGGCCCTGCCGTCCCCCTTCCCCCCCCTTAAAACTACGCGTCCCGACATGCACCGCCAATAGCCGCGGGCGCGATGCACGCCGGGAAGCGTAGTCCTGCCAGCCTCGCCATCCTCACCCCTCTCCCCCCGCCCCCCCAGCCACTCTCCCAACGGCGGCCTGAACTTCCCGCGCACGCTCTGCGCCACGTACGCTCCGGCGTCACACGGTGGCAGAGCCAATCACAGGCGCCGGCGAGTGGGTGCCCCCCCCCCCCCGCTTCCCCCTTCTCGACCTTTGACCCGCGCCAGCGGCCGCCCCGCCCCCCTCCTCCGCCCCGCCAGCCGCAGCCGCAGGAGGCGGCGAAGCCTCCGCCCCCCGCCACCCCCCCCCCCCCCACCCCAACCTCCCTTCCCGCCGCCGGTTCCGGCTCGCCCCGCCGAGCGCCGTCCCCAGCAGCGGGCGAAGTGGAGCCGGCGAGGCCGGGAAGACGCCGCCTCCTCCTCTTTCTCCTTCTCCTCCTTCTCTCCTCCTCCTCTCCCTCCCCCCTCCCCGCTCGGGTCCGTCAACATGGCGAGCGCCTCGTACCACATCTCCAACCTGCTGGAGAAAATGACATCCAGCGACAAGGATTTCAGGTGGGAGCCGCCGCGATCCCCCCCCTCCATCCTTCCCTCCTTCCCTCCCTCCGCCGCCGGCCCCTCGCCGCCCTGCCCTGGCCCCACGGCCGGCCCCGGGCCTGGCGCCGCGGCTGTGGGGGAGGCCTGCGGGGCCGGGCCCGGGCTGTGCCCGCCTCGGGGTGGGAGAGGGTGGTGGGGGTGTGTGTGGGGGGGTGTGTGTGTGTGTGTCTCCCCCCCACCTCGGGCCGCCCCACCGGGGCGAATCTGGTGCTGCTACCCCGGGAAGAAAGTTGCCGGGAGGGGAGCGAGCGCCTCTTCTCGCTGCCCGCGAAGGACGGGGCACGGCCAGTGCCCGGAAAGCCGCGGCCTCCACGCGTCGTGGGCTGAGATCTCAGGCCGCTGGGAGGAGCTGAGGTTGGCTGACCTGCGTGGGGATAGGCGAGGGAGGAGGTAGGTCAGCGTGTGAATTTCTGACCTCGCCGATGCTCAAAAGCCGAGGGGATGGAGCCCTGAGCGACCTGCTGGCGCTGACCCTGGGTTGAGCGGCAGAGGTTGGGTGAGATGACCTCCCGGCGTCCCTTCCCAGTCTCAAAAATGATGTGTCGGGTGATTCTGCGAATGGGAGCAGGGCGGGCCCCCCAGTGCAGCGGGCTTGAACCTCCCCAGCTCACATGCTCCCTGCGTGCTGCCTCTTGTAGGCGGAGGGGTTTTGTGCTCCTCACGTAATTTGGGACTGCCACTAAAAGTCTGTGCATCCAGAGACAAAAGTCTAGTTAAGTCTTACAGGGACAGGACTGGTATATGTAATTTTTGGCTTAGGCTCTGTCACAGAAGCACTACTTTTTATCAGATCATTTCCTTGCTTTGTGACAAATTATTGGCAGATAAAATGCAAACATTTGAGTATCAGAAAATTAAATTATATAGGCTATTAAAAACCAGCAGGGTTAATACATTTACGTAGTAGTTCTAGTAAAGCATTAGGTTGAAAATAACTACATTTTTTTTGTATTGTGTGCAACCAGAAATTCACATTTTAAACCCTTATTTGCCAAAGAGGATAGATAAATACACACAGGGAAAAGGCATAAAATGCGCTTGGGCTTTGTTGCTTTACTGCAGGATTACAGTGCTTAGTTTGTAGTTAAAGAACATGTTGACGTCCAAACAAGTCTTTTGTTAATATATTAAAATCTAAAGGAAAACAGGTGATGATTAAATAACCATGGAGTTGGGTTTTGAGTAATCTTGTTTGCTTTTGACTAACTGTTGTAGCACTGCACACAGATGTGACAAATATGTGGGTTTTTTCATGCTGTTTTCTTTCATATTTTAGTAGCATGATACTACCTGGAGAATTTGGGCTAAAAATTTTGGAATTAGAAAAAAATACTGATTAATGTAAAAAAGTCCAGAATCACCTGATTTATTTAAATTGTACTAAAAATAGAACCAAACATTTTTTCTGCTAAATGCTAGTGAAGATTTTTTTTTTTTTTACTTTTATTGTGCTAATTTGTTTCTGCAATTAAGTGAGCTTTCCATTTTGTGCTTCTGGGGAGAATGGCTTACAAAAAATTCTAATGAATTTACGACTCAAATACTGATTTTGATGACTTTAAAACTTTCTGCATAAAAGGGATAGGTCACACCTGACAAACGAGTTTGTAGCAAGCATCATTTCCCAGCTACATGTAGTTAAAACTTGCTTTATAGTTGCTTTAGGAGAGCACACTTCAGAAATTACCTGTTCTAGGAGCGTTATAGAACTTTGGAATTCTTGACTATTAAATATTTTTTTCTTAGCATAGATTAAAATCTGACTTTACAGACCATAAAAATGAGTGATCATAGACCATTACAAACTGGCTGTTATGCAATAACAGCACATTTTATGAAACTATATAAATCAAGTATTTGCCTAAGGAATAAAATCGTATTTAGTACTAGTAATTGTAAGTGCATTTATTCTTAGATCATGTGTATTTGAAGAGGGACAGTGTAGTTAACTTGTTGATATCAGGGAGCTGAGTATAAACCACAGTTCAAGTAACCATTTTACTATAAAATGTAATCCTCTGGTTTTTGGATAAACTTATTTGTCTGACGCAAATATTTGTGACATTTATTGTGGGAAACTCAGACTTAATTTCTAAAATGGGCAGTAGCGTAAGGTGCAGTTTACTGTGTGCCTGTGAGAGTAGTAGCATCCTCACTGGAGGAGGAGAATGACTACTTTTGAGTACAAAGTATGAGGAGCTGCTGACATGCTGCTTTGCACCAGCTAAAGTTTGATGTTCCTGAGGAGGAAGCAGTTGTGACTGAAGGCCACATCTGAACTAATCAAAACCATGTTTCTAAATACCAGATACTTTAAAGTTGTTAGGCTTCCCCACACCATTGTTGAGTTTGGGTTGTGGTGTTTTTTGTTTTTTGTTTTTTTTTTTTTTTTTTAATGGAGGAGTCTGCCAGGAGGACTCCTCAGTTGTAGTTGAGTGTGGAAGCTGCTGATGCCCTGAGGATGTGCAAGCTCTGCTTAGTTTAGGAACTTGTCACAAGTAGGTGATGAGTGTATGTGAACTCTTAAGGCTAGGAAATGGGAGTTACTGTCCAAGGAAGTGAGGGGAGGCTATTAAGAAGGGTTAAGAAAGAGAGGTAAATATAACAGTAACACAGAGACAGTTTTTGCATGTTCTAGTACTATGTGACTTTGTGTATATCCTTATTCCCATCCTGTTTGTCTATTACCTTTACCTACCAAGTAGCTTTTCTCCTTGCTGTGCTTAAAAGCTGATGCCATTTGCATTCATCATCTGTTCATATGCACATCTGGTTCCTGTCAGATTACAGGCTTGCTTCAGTGGGACTGTTGGAGTGAATGAAAAATGAGTGAGGTCTTATCTTAGAAACACCTTGAGACTATTAGACTGGAGTTACTGTATTAAAAGACAGAACAAGTTGAGGGCCATTATGTGAGGGCAGGCATCTGGCATTTGTGATGCATATTAAGATTATTCAGAGCCTTGGCTTTCCTTTTCAGTAAAAAAGTATCTAGCATGTCAGGCTGTAGAGATAACCTTCCAAGTATGACCTGAGCTCAAGTGATGTCTGCCTGAGGCTGATGCGCCTGAAGTCCAAATGTCAACTTTAACTGTTTAATTACAAACCGTTTTTGTCTGGGGCTTTGAATGGGGGTTGGGATTGGTACTGAAGCCCATGGGATTCATGATGGAGAAATACAGATGTATTACTTCTGAGAAGAGAGGGCCCTTACAAAAGAACAACAGATTGGAAAACAAACTTCAGAAGGAAAAGATATAAAAAGCATAAAAGCAATATTTTTGGAAAGTAATTTCTCAATATGTTCTTGTATTGGTGGATATGACACTATTATTGAATAGTAAATTAATTAGTACGAAAGGTGATTTTATTTGCTTGATCTCTCAAGAATTTATCTTGGTCTTTAATATGGAACCCAGATTCTATTTTTCCTTTCTTTAGTGTTTGACTTCTGTGAATTTTGTGGGAGAATGTTTGAAAAACTGTTTTTTTTTTTTTTTCTTCTTGCTTAAAAGTTGTTTTAAAATAAACTGAGAGCAGACACTAATATTTTTTTTAACAGACTTTAAAAAAAAAGTATATTTTTTTACAACATCAACATAGATAATGAAAGGACTACTTAATTTTGGAATGTATCCGTTTTTTCTTTGTGTAGATCGTTTGGAACATAATTTAAATAGTCGAAATAAGATATGTAGCTGTTCTCATCAGGGAAGAATAATGACCTAGCTAAGTTATTGTAATTTTTAAATACAATTTTTCTCCTTTTTATTCTTTAACTAAAATAAATGCTACTGGCATCACAAAACAGGTAACATTAGTCCAATGTTAAATGTGATTTATTTGATAGCAAATGATGAAAACTGAGAATCAAATCCTGAGCACTGTGAATAACCCATATCCTTTTAGCAATAATTATCCAACTATCTTTTGTCAGGTTTATGGCTACTAATGACTTGATGACAGAACTACAGAAAGATTCTATCAAGCTGGATGATGACAGTGAAAGAAAGGTGGTGAAGATGATTTTGAAATTACTGGAAGATAAAAATGGTGAGGTGCAAAACTTAGCTGTGAAATGGTAGGTATTCTTTTGCTATGGTGTAAAGAATTGTTTAATGACCGAACAACCTAAAGCGCTTTTGAAAAACTTGAAGGACCACTGTCATGCAAAATAATTGTGACATTGATGTCCACAAAGGAACCCTTGTACTTGTAGGCTACCTGCCTTAATTGAACTTTCTTAAAGATCTATCTTTTGTTGACATTGTGGATTAACATTTGGGGTTTCAGGTGACAAATAGTGCATGCAGTCCTTGCTGAAAGTACATGAATGACATGTTTGTTCTTTGCTGATAATTCTTGAATGCTAAATAGATTTAAAAAGGTTATAAATCATGGTAGTTGCCACATTGATATTTGACTGTGAGAAGGCAGGTGATGTGTAGGGGAAGAATTGTAGTATTGCAGCACTTTTCAAGCAGAGATAAAAACATGAAATACATATATGGTCTTGGTTATCAAATATGGAACTTACCTCTTCACTAACATTCAGAATACTGTGTTAATAGGTCCTACATGCTTTACAGAAACTGCAAATGTGTTGTGGGGTCAGGGTGCAGTTACTTGTATTGCGGAGACTTTTGTTGCTTCAGTACCTTCTCTTCCTAGCTTTATTTAACTTTACGTGTGGTGTGGCTTTTCCAGAGCACCCTCTGAAGAGGTACTACCTTCATTATGACTTACTTTTTGTTCTTGGCCCTTATGAGTTTTTGTGTCCTTTAAGGAGGGCCTCTTCTTTGAGAAGCTTCTAGTGTTCCTGAGACTGTTTCTTGTTTGTGAGGTCAGGTTTTTTTTTAATATTCCTTCTGTGCCACTTATATTCCATGAAGCATGAATTGAAGTAAACTCACTATGCAAGAGTTTGGGACAGCTTTGAAGAGAAGTTTCACATTGTAACTAGCACAGTTAGTTTGTTTCAGCTTGTTAGTCTTTACAGTTTGCCCTATCGGACTAGCAAAGCAGAAAATTAAAGCCTGTGTGTACATCTGTTTATGTACTTAGAAGCAGTGCTTGCATCAGCTTCTGAAATATTTTAAATGATTGGTAACCAAAACCTTGCACAGAGAAACTACTGTAAGAATAGCAAGTTTCAAGCCAAAGTTTAATATTAGCAGTATAGTATTTTAATTGTCAGTACTTTTTCACTACTCTCACCAGGGTTGCAGTGTTGTTAAAAAAAGGGGGGGGGAGACACATTTTAACAAACGACACAAAATGACATGTTTCTTTTTAATTCAAACTTCTGAAATGTCAAAGCTCCCTTGTGGTACAGCTTAAGTTCTATGGCTTTGAAACGGATTGCTTGTACTCAGTCAGAAGAGTAGATTATTATGAAACTTGGCTCAGGCTTAGAATTGTCTTTTTCACAAAATGCTATTTCATACAAAGTTACATCGCAGCATACATGCAATACTCATCTTTAATGTACATCCTAAAGTTATCCTGAAGTTTAGATTAATGCACGTAGACACAGCTTATATATCACAATCTTTAATGGCAGTGTCAGCATTTTGGACCTACAGTATGTGTAATATTTACTGAAACATTAAAGGAAGATTGCAAAGGGAAGAGAAAATAAAAGGCTGCCTGTGTATGTGCGCATGTGCATGTGTCCTGTTCTTATTAACCATTTTTCTATTTTTAAAGTTTACTTTGACATACTGATAAAATTCTTGGATTTAATTAAAATGACAGGATCTATTTAAAGTTTGGAAACTTTCTGAGAAATCCAAATAATGCTAAAGAACAGTGTTAGATTTACTGCAATGGGACAAGAAACATGATGGAAAAGTTTTCCGGTAAATTGTAAACATTCATCTAGAATGTGTACATTCTTGAAGGTACCAAATTTTTTGGGCATCCTGATCACTTACAGATATGCTTTGAGAACCAAAACCAAACCAAACCACACCACCCTAAAAGTATCTTCTCTTCTTAAAGCAGACTATACTCATGGTATCATTCCATGACAGTTTTAAGCCAGTCTAAGATAATGCTGTTGCTGCTCTGCGATTCTCGCCTTCCTTGTCCCTTTCCTTGCACTGTTGTTTATCTGATTTTGCTGTAGACTGACTTGGGGACTTAGTTTTCTTCTGGTTTAGTGCTCTCCCGCAATCAGATGGGCATTGATAGAAACAGTAGTGAGGGTGAAAGATGGAAGAGGTTAAACGCTATTAAGCTGTAGCTTTTCTAAGACAGTTCAAGCTGATCTGAAGTCTTTTATCTACTACAACACTGGGTGTAAGCCTGATTTGTTGGGATGTTAAATTCAGCCAGCATATTTTTCTTGACTTTTTGTATTTTAAGTATTTTGTTGTGGTGTTCTTTACCCGTGTATTTCTGTTATGGATTTGCTGGCACTTTTTCAGCCGAGGAAAGCATAAACTGCATTTAGATCTCTATCAATTTAAATGCTCTGGTGAACTTTAGAGACTATCATCAGGAACCTTCATCAGACTGGTACTTGATGACCCATTTAAATATAGATTCCCTTTCTCAGAAAAAAACAACCCTATATACCTTTGAATCTGTATTTGAGACAGTTTTTTCCTTGGGGAAAGGAGGAAAGATTTTCATTTTGTTAGGGGAGCTTCCTCTACAGTGGAAACACCGTGAATGGCAAAGGTATTGATCACTCCTTGAGCAGGTAATAATCTTGCTCGAGAATCAGTCTTTCAAGGTTTAATTCTTAACATCACTGAACAGGAGATTTAAAACAACTTGGAGCAGCCTTAAAGCAGCATTTATTTTTAGGTAAATGTAGCAACAAGTAAGCAGTGTTCCTGGTTTTGCCATATTCACTACTTGCTTTCACATTTGGGTAGGAAAGGCTCTATTGGTTAAAATGCTGATGAACTTGTTTCCTATTATCTCTTCAAAGCATACTAGTGATTTTATTCTTGATCCTTTCAGTTATATTACACTGTTTTTGGACAGGATAAAACATGTTCTTTGGTTAGCGGAAGTCAGGTTGAGACTATATGGGTATTTGGGTAGCTACCTTGCAAGATGATTGTGCAGTTCATTTCTGAATAAAAATGAAAGTTAATGAGCTGCCTTAGTACTCTTGGAGTAGAAGTCAACCTGCTCTGTGCTTTGACCTTACAGAAGGGAAAGGAGTATATTTGTCAAGCTGCTGTTATTGCAGGCAGTAGATGCAAACTAGGTCAGTAACTGCAGGTTGTTCATCTTGTTTTTCTTAAGAACATGTAAAATTTTAAATGTGTTTTTGTCTACATTTTTTTTGTGGAGTTGCTTTTGCTTCATCTGGTAGTCATAGGCTGGTTTACAGTCTGCCAGTGTAGAAAATCCTATTGGACATTCTTACAGCATATTCTTAGTTTGAGGCTGTCAGTGTGGTCCAGCATGGTATCCTATGTACATTATGGCAGTAGTAGTTATACTGTCTGTAGCTTTATCCAAGTTTATGTGCCTGTGGATTAGACAAGCAGTATGGTTTGTCTAAGCATAGGTATTATGTTGGGTATACTGTTTGTTCTTTGTTGCTGATAATGCTGGTAATGTTCTGTTGGCCTAAATTGCATATTGCTTCATATGTTCAGTGTTGCAGTTTAAGGATGAACTACTTCTCAGTTTGAGCAGTTATCTGTGGTTTTATAATCTGCCACTTAAACCTCTATTTACAAATTTTTATTGTTTCACACTGAAATGTTTCCTGCAACCAGTAAAAATCCAAACAAATGCATGTATATATATAGGGGAAAAAAAAGGCAGGTTAAAGTACTTTCAGTGATTCTTCCCTTGTGATACTGTAGTTTCTCTGCAGTTTATCAGTGTGACTTCTCTGGGCAGCAGTTCACTGTAGGGAACCCTGCTTGAAGCTGTGAGTGTGAGTCACTAGTGTGAACAGGATGATGCACATATTGGCTGTTGTGTGGCTGATCCGGTTCAGCAGCTTTCAAGCATTTTGGATGCTGTGGTAATACACTGCTGCACATCACTCTACATTGGTGATTTGAATCAATTTTTTTTTTCCATTCATGAATTTTCTTTCCTGTAAGTAAATGTGCCTATTTGATAGCCGTTAAAATATGCCCGTTTGAGACTATAATTGATTATGAATTGGTGTCCCTTGTCCTAATAAGGAGCTACAGAATGAACACCTTTATTTTCAAAGGCATGTAATTTAAAGAGGACAGTGTGTTATAGTCACTGTTGATTTCCATTGGCAACTGAATGAGCTTTTGTCTTTAAGAGGACCTGGACACAGATTATTGGCTAGTGGAAGGGAAAAGATCAAAGAGCACTTGATATCTGAAACTGCCTTCAAATGTATAAAATACATGTTTAAGTTCAAATGTTTTTTATTCAGAACTAATTTTATATAAGAAGTTTATATTTTATTTTCAACTTCTGATATGCTAAGTTTGTATTCTGGGACTAGTAATAAGGTCTGTAAGTGATACCTACTGATTTTAAAAGCCAGAAAAAAACTTGAGGTAGTCTTTTAAAAATATACTTCGTAATTGAGCTAACAGGCTGAATAAATAGGACTGAAGATGATAATTCAGGTAAAATTTGGTTTAACAGTTTCTAGACACTGTAATTTCAAGTGTTTGTGTGGATGACTATATAATTTCAGTGGTTTGGTCATCTTTAAAACATCAGCACAGAAGTGTTTCCTATACTTAATTGAGATGGATCTAATTGAATCACAGCCTTTGCTGTGATTATTTTAGTTACTCATAGGTTACAGGTGAAAAATAAACATATTTAAATCAGAATAATTTAGTCGTTGTTCACTAGTTCAGGTTTAAAAAAAATCCTTACCATCATTTCAGATGCTTTTCACTTATGGAACAACTTTTTTGGTGGAGATCTGCTTGTGGTCTGTCAAATTCAATGTATAAAAGGATGGTGTCAGCTGCAGACCTCTAGGATGCGGAAGATGTATTTTCAGAGAGCTGAACAAGCCATTGCAAACTGCAAAAAGCAGATGACCATTCTAGCAGTGAAAGGAGGGATGACATTACCACCTGGAATCTCACCAACCAGACA